AGGTAGTTTGGTTTGACTGTTTCAATGGTAGTTTGCTCATTCTAAGAGCAGCTGCCTATCAGACAAATATTGACAAGTTATCTATGTAAGTATGGCTAAATATAGTGGGTGGTAATGGAATCAAATTTTGTTGGGTAAGGTGCAGCTGAGGAAACTACAAATTACTGTACAAGCACAAGGCCCTTCACAAGGGCATACACACACAGAGAGACTTAAGGGATAGACCAATTTTAAAATGCTTGAAGGTATTACATAAGAACATGTAATGTTTGGTATATATGTGAAAGAATATATTATTTTCTTTGTTTATTTGCTGTTTTTTAACTGACCATTAACTGGAAAGATTATGCCCTGTACTTCCTTTAAAAGTAAATGTGGTAAAGCCCCAGGAGAAGTGAAATAAAGCACATTTCTTGCTGTCTTTTAGGTTGGGTCTAATGACATTTTTGTGTATGCAATCATAACTGATTCCATTGCTAGAATCTCATTTGTTAAGATACTATATGAGGTACAGAAACTCAGAGAAAAAAAGATTAATGACAGGTTTGTTTGAAGATTCGTAAAGTTTGTGTATTAAAAAATTGTGAAGAATATCACAGCTTTGTGATTTCTTTCTGTTGGCTTCTTTCTTACATGCATTAGGGTTTTCAAAAGAGGAGTTGACTTGGCTTCAGAGTCTTCGGGGAGTTCCTCATGTTGTCCAGACACAGCTTTCTCCTGTGCTGCTCTACCTTACAGACTTGGATCAGTTTTTGCACCATTGGGAGGTGACAGAGGTAATAACACTTCTAAAAACAAACTGGTAATTACTGAAAATTTGTTTATGAACCACAAATAGTTACATTAAAAGTTATCTCTTGCTTTTAGAGATAGATTAATAAAAAAAAAATGGCCTTCTGCAAATGCTTACTGTCCTGGATAGGAAGTATATATTTAAAAGAGCAGTGGTTTTTGTGATGTTGTTTCACTTTAATAGAACAAATCAATAGTCTCATTGATAGAGACAACTTTGCTTTCTCTTACTTAGCATAGTATAGATCCTTATGTTTAATGAGAACTTGACTTTGTAAAGCAGGAGTGACACTTAAGGGTTAGTATCTTTGAAGGTGACTTAATTGTTTTTATGTTTTTTTGTGTGTGTGTGGCATCAAAGATTAAATACACAGGGCCTTTGCACTGAATGACATTCCTAGCTCTTTTCTGTATTTTATTTTGAGACAAGGTCTTGGTAGACAACTAAGTTGCTCATTCTAGATTGAGAATTGCAGTCTTCCTGTCTCAGACAGATACCATTCCCTAATCTAAAGATGTAAAAGCATTATTGAAAGACTGGGAGTGTAGTTCAGGGGTAGGTGGCGGTAAGGTGCTGAGTTCCTAGCACCACACAGAAGCAAAATTTTTTTTTTTAAAAGTTCACTGGTTCCTTTTAAGAATTAATAGTTCATCAAAGTTAAAATTTTTATTAATTTATTTTTCTTTTCTTTCTTTCTTTTTTGGTGCCGGGGATCGAACTCATGACCTTGCACTTGCCAGGCAGGCGCTTGTGCTTCTGACCTAATTCCCTAGCGATTTTTCTGTCTTTTTGAGACGGTCTTGCTTTGCAATTCAGGCTGGCCTTGAGCTCCCTTTATAGCTCAGACTGGTCTCAAACTTGCATCGATTCTCCTGCCTCAGCCTCCTGAGTGCCATGATTACAGGCGTGAACCACTACGCCTGATTACTTAAAGTCAGTGTACAAGTATAAAAGTAAATACAGTAAATTTAAACAATTATTTAAAAAGGAGACTTTGATTTACATTTTGTTGCTTTTACAAACTATGGTAGTTAAAAATGTACTGTTAAACTAACATTAGTTTGTTTAGTATCTGTAAAGTACTTTGCTTTCCTGACACCTTCACAAATATTAAAGTAAATCTTACAGCTATAAACCTGTAAATATGATCTTAATATTTTGTTTCATTATTATTTAGTAAATCTTCAAAATCATACATCTGAACTAACGCATGACATTTTCCTTGTCTCGTTTGGCTTTTGAGGCAGCATCTTGCTGTGTAGCCTAGGCTTACTTGGAACTTGCTGTGTAATCTGTTGGGGCCTTGGACTTGAGATCATCCTGCATCAGCCTTTCAAGTGCTGGGATTACAGGCATGCACCACCACAGCTGGTCCTGACATGCTTTAACACATTCACAGTGGGGCAATAATTTGTATGTCTTGCTGCCATGAAGCTGTAATTTAAATTCAGTTGTTTGGGCCAGTTTGAACCACTGGTGGTACATGAATGGGTGTTCCATTGGGTGATTTGTTCCACTTTTCAGGGGATCTTTAATTACAATAATGCAAAGAAAGGCTTTGATTTAGCAGAACAGATGTCATCTTACAGTTCCTTAATGAAAACATTAAAATAGTATAAAAATTATAATATAGCTAATGTGTGGCACAGCAATTTTAAATGCATATTATGTATACCAGCAATGGGTATTAGATTTCCACGTTAAAATTGAGAAAATTATTCATAAACTATTTATTAATATAAGTAAGTTTCTTGAAGTTTAATAAATTTATTAATTATTATAGTAATTCTTAAGTTTGTATGATTAGTATAAATATTTCTCTCTTTTGGGGGAAGGTATCAGGGATTGAACTCACAACCTTGGGCTTGCCAAGCAGGCACTTAAGCCACTGAGCTAAATCCCTGGCCTTAATATAAATACTTCTTTGTGCCGCCAGTGGTATAAGCTGCCGGATGGGAGAGTCCATGCGTGTTTCAACTGGTGGTTCAAGCTGGTAGGAGTGTGTTAAATTGGAATTATAGAGCTGATCTTTTTCCCTAGTAGGTACAGTTTTCTTAAATATTACAAGTAGTAGCGCTGAATCCACAGAGACATCAGGAACGTGAACCCTAAGGATACGCATGTGTGCATGTGTCCTGTGTTGCTCCCCTCCCCCGACTCTGTCTTCTGTCTGCTTTCTTTCTGCTTGGTACTGGAGTGCAGTCTGAACTAAGAACCCTTGTGATTAGTAAACACCTGCTCTGCTACTGCTATGCCAACAGTCCATTATTTTGTTATTTAACTTATTTCTTAAATTTCTCTACTTAGAATTAAAGGTGCTTATAAGACTGTAATTATGTTATCCACATATTTTTAATGTCGAGTTTTCACTCAATCTGAGGCTGTATTGTTTGTTGGCAGATTTTTTTCTTCACTAAATGTTCAGGCAACCTTTGGCTGGGATATTGACTACATTCTTTCCTGTAACACCCATTTGCTGCCTGCCCCCCATCTTTGTGAGTGTTATTTTAGTTTGTTTTTTTTTTTTTAATTTCAAAGAGAATAAAACCAAACAAAACAGAATAAAGCTAATCAGAACAGAACAGTGAAAGTGATACAGAACTTCAAAAGAAGGTAATAGGAAATCAATAATGGCTACCATTAATATGTCTGTTTTCTTTAAAGTAGATGTCCAGACCATCAGACATAATAAAATCCAACAAAATAAAACCAATCAAAAGAATGAAAGTATATTTTAAAGAGAATAAAACCAAACAAAACAGAATAAAGCCAATCAAAACAGTAAAGATGATACAGAATTTCAAAACAGAATAGGAAATAACAGAGGTTAACATAATGCCTTATTCAAAATTGCTCCCCAACCATCAGACACAATAAAATCAAACAAAACAGAACATTGAATAAAACCAAACAAAAGGAAACTGAACAAAACTGAAAACAGTATTGAATTAACAAAGATAGAAGAAAATCCTCCATATTTGCTATATTGCATAGTTATCTTCTTAATAGATGCTCACATCTCCAGCTTTAGGCCTGCAAAGTCAGTCAAACCATACAAACATTAAGTTGGTTTTGCTACCTCATTTGCTATCCTGGTTGCTTATGGGGTGGGAGTGGGGGTGGAGCCTATAGGCTATTCTTGTTTCCCAGCCTGTGTGTGGATTGGCTCACAGAAAGAGCAATTGGCTGCTGCTTATTCCTCCCAGGTCCAGCTTGGGACTTTGTTAGTGTTGTTAACACACTAGTCTTAAAACTACTAACACGGTAGTAGATACAACACAGTTCTGTATTGTTGCTATACCAACTGGTTTTATTCAGCTGATCTGTTCATTCACTGGATTCTTTTCTAGTTGTTTTTCTCTTAGAGCTGTGTCTTTCATAGATACTAAACTTTTCTGTCATGGCCTTAACTCTGGCCATAGCCCCAACGTCACGCCTGGATGTGTGTTCATATATAGGTTCTCCATAAACACTAGCTTTTAAAAAAGTGACAAGCAATAATGAATTGGGTAACCAACCTAATTGTTTAATACCTGAAATTTTTACTTCATTCCATAACCAGTTTAGATTAAGATCTTAAATGCTAGATCTAGGAATTAGATTTGCTAACAGTATAGCAATAATTGTTTAAAGCATAGGTTGATTCTAATGTAGTTAAACTACACTGTGGTATTTTCAGGAAGGCGTTGTGTAGGAGTTTGGGGGGTCCGTATTCTAGGCAAAGATTTGCCAATGTGTAGTTTGGTGATTTAGACAACTTAGGCTTTATTTTCATGAAATCTTGAACTAAATGGTGGTTCCTTCAGCTTTCTAGTTTCTAACTGACAGTTAAAATAGTTAAAAGCTTGTCATCTCTGTAAAACCAAGATAAAGTAAGTAAGCTTTTGGCAGAGCTGTGTATTAAATTTCAAGTTTGCTGAATTTGAAATGTTAAGACATAAATTAGAAAAAATTGGAAACTTTCTAGTTCTTAACCTTCTAAAGTGAAAAATGCAGTCTACTTTTAGGTAAACTTTGTTGTATTTATGTCAGTTTTCATGTGACAAGTGTTTGAGTATAGATAATTTATCTGAACAAGTTGGTAGAGTGAGATTGCTTAGTTGTAGTGTTGCTTAGTGGTAGTATTGTCTGCTTGGGCCAAAATCAGACCTTTTTTCAGAAAATATAAATATAATTGAGGACAGACTGATCATATTGAAAAGAAATCTTCCTCTTCAGTAGCATGTATACTAAAATTGGAATGATAAGCAGGAGATTAGCATGTCCCCTACACCAGGACAACACGCAAGTTCTTGAGACATTCCGTGTTTTAAAGAGAAATTTTTCATCCCCATGTCTTGGTGAATCATTTCCTTCCATAGTTTGCTAGTTTTTAATAACTAGCTTCTGTTAGTTGTAGATGTTTTCTGTGCCTTTATAAAAAAACCACATTATTATTACTTTGTTTTTTTCTCTTTTACAGGGATTCTTAACCTCTGAAACTCTATGTTATTCTATCTTTGAACATATCTGTCTCCATAATCGTATATTGTCTTGCACTCTTTCCAGATTTCATGTTGTCCATTTGAGAATTGATTTTCTTCCCAAAACTGATAAATTACCTTTCATCTTGTATGTCATTTTCTACGGAACCCTGATGCAGTATTCATATCCTGGTGATTTTTTTGTTGCTAAAGTTTAGTACCAAGGGCCAGTGATATAGATAAGCAGCACAGGTGCCTGCCTGGCAAGTGCAAGATCATGAGTTCGACCCCTGGTACCAGAAATATAAAATAAAATGAAGTTTAGTATCAAAAGAAAACTGGAGCTACTACTTTAGAACACCATTTTTATGTGATTATATTGAGCTAGTTAGAGCAACTAGATCTTGCATTTTAATAAAGTGAATACATTAAAGCCACTTATTCTTGGTCTCTCAGATATTCTAGTATAGGTAAAAGTCTCTGAAGTTGTGACTGAAATGGTCAAGTTACTCCTTCTGGTTAGCTGTTTGACTTCCAGATCACTAAGACAGTGGTGGTTTTTCATTGTAGCAGCATGGCCTTTTCCATTTAGACCTATGCATTGAATGGTGACAGTTTTCTTGATGTCACTGTAACCTGTTTAAAAAAATAATGCATTACAGACCTAAAATTTTAAAAGCATATTTTGATTTTACTTAATATTTAAGTTCTGTCAGTTGTTAGATAAAATTTTAGCTTTTCCATTCTTAACCTATTCCTGGATCTTAAAAGCACATGCTCACTTTAGGTTTTCTACTTTTATTTTTTTTTCACATTCCTTATGGTGACTTGTAAACCATCAGGGAAAGCTCGGATTCTTGTGATTATGGCAGCAAATAAAACTTTTTAGGTGAAATGCTTGGGAGAATTTAGATGTTCTCCTTTTTCCATTTAACAAAAAAAGAAGAGGCTATGTTGGAGTAGCTTATGGTGAACCAAAGTTATGACTAGAAGATGGTATTTAGGAACCAGCATGTGGAATCTAAGTGCTCATTATATAATGTACAGTTCTGTGCCAGTGGGTGCACAGAATAACACCACACCAGAGGTTCGTTCTACTTGGCTTCTGTACTTTTTTGTACCTGTTTTTTCTGACAATGAAAAACGTGGCTGTCATTATTTACCCACATCATTTCTTCAGTCTGTAATCAGTTTCTCTTTCCTGCATCCCTCACTTCACTCCATTTGGATGTTGGCTCTTGGGGGCTGTCTGCCCCTATTCATGAAGAGCCTGCTCTGGGTTGCGTCAGCTCTCTCACAAACTTTATTCTCAGTATCGGCTCCCCCAGAGACCTTAGAATAGAATTGTTCAAGTAGAGAAGATATAAAGTGGTCATTTATGGGCATTTTTCCAAACTTGATTTTCCTTTTATTAATGATAGCATTCATTATGGTAGAAAGATGTCGCAGAAGCAGGGGATTCCTCCCCCCCCCCCCCCCCCCCATTGATAGAAAATTGTCATTTAAAAATTCTGGATAGTATCACTCTTAAGAAATTTTATAGAGAAATACATAGGGTTATTGATTCTCTTATTGCAAAAATTCATAAATACAGGGCAGCTCAATGGAAGAGTGTACTACAGCTAGCATGTACGAGATCCTGGATTTGAGTCCCAGCATCAGCACACACATACACACACACTATCTCTCTCTCTCTCTCTCTCTCTCTCTCTCTCTCTCTCTCTCTCTTTGTTTGATAGTTTTCTTAAACTTAGCTTGACTAGTCTCTTCATAAAGAGGAGCATTCCTTCTTTCATCAACCATTGTCACTCCATGCAGTTTTTTACATATTTCAGTTTTGGCACTATACTCTATTAGATTCAGGAGTTTGTATTTGGCTGCTATTTGCAAAGAATTTAATGCTATTCTTGAATACCATGATGAATAGCATCATTAGTAAAAGATTACAAGTTCCAGGCATTTAGCTCAGTGTCATAAGTGCCTGCCTGGCAAGCACAAGGTCATGAGTTCGATCCCTGGTACCAAAAAAAAAAAAAAAGATTACAAGTTCAAACATTGGCTCAATAACTTACTGAGACCCTGTTTCAAAGTAAAAAGCAAAAGTTGAGTGTGGTTGTACCTCAGTGCAGAGGCCTTGAATACAGTCCCCATTAATGCAAACAAACAAAAGTTTTGGATTTGGGGGCATTAAGATTTCATGTTTTTAAATTAGGGATGTCCAGCTGGTAAAATCTATGTAAACACTATTAGGGTCCAGAAATACTCAGAAATCTGAAGCACTTCTAGTCCCAAACATTTGGGTAGTATACACCCTATTTTAGCACTTTGTAGATGATAAGCATTTTTCTGGGATGCATTTTTTCCAGTGAGTGGCAGGAAGGCTTTTGTCAGCCCTTTGTATGTTTCAGTTCGTTCATTTATTTAAAAGAAATACAGTCTTCATCTTTGTGAGCTACTTGAAGGGTATGAGAAGAGGAGTTTCTCATTCTTTCGTTCTTGCATATGACCTTAAGCTAAGTCTGTTCTCAGTACATATTAAGAGATGATCTGGGGGCTGGGGATTTAGCTCAGCGGCATAAGCGCCTGCCTTGCAAGCAGGCAGTCATGAGTTCGATCCCTGGTACCGATAAAAACGAAAAAGACAAAAAAAAAAAGAGAGAGATGATCTGGAAAATTTGCCTGTCTTTCAGGTCTGATTGTTTGATTTTTGATATCTGGAACTTGAGTCATTTTTGTAACATTCGTCATTTATTCTTTGTACAGCAAGTAAGTTAAAATTAAAAAAAAAAAAAAAAAACCTGTTGAACTGACTTCTTAACTAAAATGTTACGATTTGGTTATTGGTTCTTTCCTTTTCTGACAGGCAGTTTGTCACAGTTTATTGGTTATCCCTGCCCGAAGTCAAAGCTTTGACATCCTGCAAAGTGCCATCAGTAAACATCTGGTAAATATCCTTAATTTTTTTCTTTTACAAAATAAAAAAAAAATCTAAATCATTGATTAAGATTCAGTTTGCTACACTCACAAGGAGAGTATGTGCTTAGAATTCTAATGTTAATGGTACTGTGCACCAGCTGTCACGGTGCACACCTGTAATCCCCACACTAGGGAGGCTGAGGCAGGAGGATCATTATGAATTTGAGGCCAGACTAGGCTACAAAGTGAGGTCAAGGCCAGCCTTAATTGCATAGTGAAACCCTGTCTCAAAAAAGAAAAAAAAGGTTCTGTGGCCTCTCAGCATCATGTGGTAGTGAAAAGAGAGAATCTTGGTATTTTCCCTGGTTATTACTAATCAATTGTGTAATAGTAGGAAAAATCCTTTCTTTTCCTAGGACCTTAGTTTCTACTACTGTAAAAGAAGATCTTTAAAATTGTATCTCAAGTCCTTTCTGATAACTTAGGTGTCTGGTGTCATTGTTTTGGGAGTTCAGCACACAAACTGAAGCCTCGGTTCCACCTAGATGGTGGGAGTCCACGAGGTAGGGACGTCAGCTGCTTAGTTACTGGAAGCAGTGGGCTAGTCCTTGAGACTTACTTGTCTTCTGACTGTTGGCTGTTTCTTGTTGCCGTTGGTATTAGTATTCACATTAGGTATGCCTCCACTGTTGCTTTTAAACTTCCTCCAGTGTTTATGCCTGACTTTTCATAATACGTTACATACAGTTCAGAGAAGGCCCTCCAAATTCTCTCTTCCTAGGGCAGTGGTGGGGATCCTATGGTATAAATGCTGCAGCAGCCTGTTTTTTATCATTTAAAGTTCTAAAAGATTTACCATCATGGTCCTAGAGTTTTATGTATTTGGATAATTTTTATAGGGAAATCTGCAACCTATTTTTTTCTTTCAAAATATTGTTTGAGTTGAAATAGTTCTTTGAATTTTAAGTAATTTCCTGCCAAACTTCTAGTCCTTATCATTTGTGTCACTAAAGATGCCTACTTTTTTTTCATTACTGTCTCTACCTGAGATTTATGCTTTCTTTTGACTGCATTCATTATTTTAGTAAACGACCAACATGCTAGGTAATCTTGGCCACTGTTTTTAGACAGCCTCATGGAAGAGGTTCAGACCTTTGAATTTGTAAACTTGTTTTTTTAATTACTCAGTAGCAGTTTCCAGGAGATTTAAACTATGTTTTACACAGTTGTAAGTTAGATTGGACTTTAATGACAGTGTATACAGGGTGGTCTGCATGAATGAGCGTGCCATTAGACTCTTCCATGGCTTTCCAGGGCTGCTTGGCAGGGAAGCAGTCAAGTGTTCAATATAATATCTTTCACTGAGTCTACTAGACGTGTTTTTCTTACTCGTGTCTGAATGACTGAATCAAAGGGTAGAGGAAAGCTGAATGTAAAAACGAACTTTACATTTAATTACTTGAAATAGAAAGTAATTACCAGATACATGTTTTCTAGTCTGAAAAGTTTTAGAAAGTTTTGTTGTGAAGGGAAGGTAGTGAATTGTGTTAAGAATATTTCTTGGGCTGGGGATGTAGTTTAGTGTTAAAACACTAGTTTAGCATGCAAGAGGCTCTGGGTTCAATGCCGATTGCAGCTAACATTTTTTTAAAAAATAAAGTTTGCTTTTTTTCATTGTTACTTAATTCGGGAATTAAATTTTTAAGGGAAAATAATGCCTTAGGATATGGCAGGTGACATATCTTGAGTGTATGCTAGCTTTAAGTCAAAGTAAACTAACTGTAGTTAACAGGTTTTGATTTTATGTGGAGAAGTGGGCTTTTGTGAACAGGTAATTAATTTCATTTTTCTCCACTCAGGTTGCATTGACTGTAATTCCTGACAGCACAGCCGGCTGTGTGTTTGGTGTTATCTGTAAGCTCCTGGATCATAC